CGACAGGTCGAACGTGTCCTGTATAAACTCCCTCGCAAAAAAACGGGTTTTTTGCGACGGGGGGCGCGGCGTTCGCTAAAAAACCACCGTATCTTTTTTGCGTTGTATACCCTCCATTTCACTGGTAGTGTCAAATGGCCTTAAAAGGCGACGTCGTTTTGGCCATTAAGCCACCAAAATTCTGCGAAGCTACCCTCTTACCCATTGCTTAAATTAGAGAATGAGCAGCCTCTAGCCGGAGTGGCCGAAAATTTCTCCAAGGTCAGCATGCATAACAGTGAATGCATTATTCCTCTTCAACTACCAAACAATAATCCTTCATACAAAGTTCTTATTGTTTGTCACCCAAAGTTTCATCCAACAATTTCTCCCATACTACGCATCCTAGAACTAATTGGGATTGGTCTGGGTCTTGAGAAGAAAAAAGAAGAAGGTAGGTGTTTGGGCTTATTTTTTCTACAAAGGAAAATACAATAATGACGATTTGCGTTGCGGGAGTAAAGGATGAAACCCAAATCCTCTAACCAAGATTAATATTTTCAAGCCAATTTTATCAAGCGATTTGCGTTGCACGGTTCTTTTGCAATCTCAAAACAAAGAGGACTGCAAAATTGCCCAAGTGTAAGAAAGGAAAAATAAAAAGAAGAATGTAGCGGAGACGGAAAAAACGATATGAAGTGAAACGAATCAAAGTAATCATTACGACCTCTTACTTCCTATGCCTTCGAAAGAAGGAATATGTTGGCACTAGAAACGCTCGAAAAGGAAAGTGCATAAATGCTTCGGAAAAAAAAGAGGTGCTTGAAAATAAAATACTTCGAAGTATAAATCTCTATGTTAAAACTAAACTCCTCAAGTGATACAAGGAAAATGACAAGAAATTATTTGAAATCAAATTGTGTCTTTGATGAATTATGGTCCTTTACCAATGTAAGCCATGAATGGCTATTTATAGACAAATATTTGTAGGAAAAAACTTCCAAGCAGAGTGAGAACTACTCAATTAACCCACCTAAAACTATCCACTTTTCCATTTTCAATCTGATCACAATGCACACATATTCCTTCATGACTTGTAACTTCCTTTAACCTCCATATTATGCTCCATGTTCTCGCATTTCATTCTCCACATCTATGTTTCACATTCTTCATAAAACTTCTCATAGGAGCGCTTCCAAGTCATGAATAGGAGTGATGCCCACATGTCACTGACAATTATTTATAAATAATAAACATAATAATAAAATTACAAGCAAATTTTTATAGGTGCCAACAGGCTAGCGGGAAATTTACATTTCACCACGTTTGACACCCATGTGTGCCTTTTTCCTTTTCCAAATATCGCTTCCTACAATCCCTTTAACTACACACACCGCTATTATTTGCCTGGAAACTGTATAATTTCAATTACGGTTGTGTTTGAACATAGATTTTGTGATGGAACAAAAGGGATTGAGATATAAACGTGGGTAGAATGTAATTATATTTTTATTCAAACATTTCACCTATTTGGTTTCCCTTTCCTCTCTTTCGCAACAAAATCCCTACAATCCCGGATTGACAACTCAAACACACAAACACAGGCCTTATTGTGATGAAACTTTAATCTCTAGGTGATGCACTCTATACTTAAGAATTCGGAAGATCAATTTCTATTAGCTCTCTTGGACTTTAGAGTGTCGTTAAGAATGAGTATTTTGATTCATTATCAATATTGTCAGTTTGATGTCCATCCTATTGCTGCCAGAGTGTCCAGCCTTATATGCCTACACATACTGCAAAGTAGTGGGTAATCCATGGTTGTGATATTTTGGCGGACAATTTAAAGCTTGTGATCATGTTGGTTCTATGTAAGGCTGCCACTTGCGGGTACCACTGTATAAGCCTTAATTTCTGTCAAATTAGTATCTATTATGCTCATATATCACCAGCATCTCGACTTAAACAAAATTCATAATGTCCTATTTATTCTATCTGTTAGTTAAAGTGCTATTATATGTTAGTGTAATATAGATGTAATATATTAGCTGTCATTACTAATTGATGTTGTATTTTCCTTTTATATTGCTTCTTTTGTCGTGGCGTTATGCAGTGCTCAATGTACCTCTAATTTACTCTCTTATAAAATTGGAGAGTGTTGATAAAACACATTCTCAATAAACTATCAAATCATTTAATACTATTTTCATAATACATACAATTTATTCTCTCTCTATCAATTTATCTTACATGGTATCAGAGCTAGGTTAAGAACCTAGTAATTTCGTTTCACCGGCAGGCGGCAATCTCGCCTTGGCCGCCCGCTGGACAAATCCAAATTTCCTTAATTTCTTCTTTCATGGCAGATTCTTCAACAACAATTCATAGCTCGAATACAACACTTCAACAAAGATAGTCTTCTCAATACAACAAACAGACCCACTCACCAATTGCCTCACTCTTCACCTCCAATCATCGTCCCCAACAATGGGTTTCACACACACAAGATTCATAGCTCCTTTTTGCACCCAGCAGACAGCTTTGCAATTGGACCCTCTGCCCACCGTGGGTGATAGCAACACACCAAACAGCTTGCAACTGGTCACGCTACCGCCCTGGGTTGATCATGAGGCCGCCATTGCAACCAGCGTCATATGCTCGATCGCAGTCGATGAGTTCTTGCTCAGAGAGATCGATCGGTTCGCCGGTTTTGATCTTGTTCAGGCCTTCCACCGCCGCCACCGTCGAGAACGCCCAGCAACTCCCACAATCCCCTTGATCTTTACTCGGAGCAACAGCACTTTTGGTCCTCCAATCAACAGACTCCGGCAACTCCTCGTCACCTCAAACGACATATTTCCAGCTTAACCCCACCTTGGACTTACCTGGACCGGGCTAATAGCCCTGTTTGGTAGAGCTGTGAAAAAGTACTTATAACTTATGCTTAAACAACTTATAACTTATAACTATGAACATAAGTTGATTTCTGACTTATAAATTAAGCATCTCCTACCCCACTCAAAGAATAAGCTGATTTTTGACTTCCAAAAAGCTATAAGCTATAAGCTATATGCTAAACCAAACACATCAAAATAGCTTAAATTAAGCTGGAAGCTGAAATAAGCAGCTTTTAAGCTGCACCAAACAGGGCCAATGTCATGGCTGAGAGATATCCACCATAGCTCCATCCATACAAACCGACAGATGGATGTGTGGTGTTGCTTGGATGGGGTCGTGGCCCACCCCATGCTCGTGGCCTGGCGTCATCTGCGACTCCGGCCGCGTCACCGAGCTCCACGTCCCCGGAATGGGACTCTCGCGCCGACTCTAGGTGTGTGCATCTCCCACTTGCGGCCCTGCCGCTACTTCCAGCCACGGCTCGCACCAGCTCCGGCCTGCACTATTCTCGATTTCTTTTATGATGATGGTGGGGATAGAAACAGACAAAAGAGAAAACATCTTTCTTTATACCCAGTGTCGTTAGTGTTGCTTTCAGCTGTGTTTTTCTTTGGTCATCAAGTGGAGAATTGGAGGGTTTTTAAATTGGTAATGGAGAAGTGGGTTTGCCCCACGTCATTGGTTGAAAAGTGTGAGATAATGATGCTGTCCATGCCTTGGATAGTGGGCTACATGGGTATTCTTCTCCCACGTAAAAAAAAAGAAAAGAGCTTTGCTATGGTGTTGCTTATTGTAATTACGTATTTTAATTACGAGAGAGAAAAACCAACGGTGGAGGGTAGTGGAAGGTTGTGTCCAGATCATGATTCCTTGCCTACCTACCTCTCCAGAATATCACATGCTTTGCTCTTATACACACCACTCACATGCACCCCCACTCACAGCACGCCCCTCAGCTTGTCTTCCTACAACAAATATATCTTTATAACCCATACCCAGTCAACTTTTGCACAAACCATTCCGTTCCCCACTACCTCTTTTATTTTATTTTTATTTATCACCATATTCATTATTTTATCACCATCATCATACTTTATTCGATTTCCTTCCATAACGCACAAATACAAAATTCCTCAAGTGACGCTGCATCTATTTACCTTATCATTACAGTCCTTACATTTTTCAGTTCCACATTCCAAAATAAATAAATAAATAAATAAATAAAAAATCTTTCTACCATTTTTTACCATCTCCATTCTGCGTTGAGCCGTTCCGCTCCACTTTGTCAATCCCTTTGTTTCAATCTCCAATAGGTTTCTATCTTCAAACCTATTTGAGTTTGAGGGGGGTATTATACATATATCATGGTAAGTATGGTTATACACCATGGGAACCACCCAAGCCACCCCATGGCGCACTCCCTAAGTCGTCCCCTTGGTGCACCACCAAAGCTTCTACAACGGTCTAACACGACCACACAATGTCTGCTACATCGGTCCGGTATGACCCCGTAAACTATCCCGACATTGATTCCGGTTAGCTTCTACAACGGTCCGGCATGACCCCGTAAACTGTCCCGACATTGATTCCGGTTAGCTTCTACATAGGTCCGGCATGACCTCGTAAACTGTCCCGACATTGATTCCAGTTAGCTGCTACAACGGTCCGACACGACCATACAATGTCTTCACCAATGGTCTGACACGACCATATAGTGTTTCTTATCTTATTTTATTTTATGTATTAGTTTATTTTCCTGTTTTATTACTCTTTCCAAACTCAAGTTGGTTTGTGCCTATCCTCCTTGAGTTTGAGGGGGGCTGTTAGTATATTATAGTGTTAGTGTAATATAGTGTAATATATAGCTGTCATACTAATGATGTTGTATCTTTATGCTTTCGGTGGGTTAGCATCCAATGTACCCTATTTACTCTCTATAAATAAGAGTGTTGTAAAACACATTCAATAAATCAATCACAATACATACAATTTATTCTCTCTCTATCAATTTATCTTATATCTACGTTTAGATGAAGATTATTATCAAAACATGAAAGACACTTTATCTTGCCTTCTTGTACTGTGTCAACCATCTTCTGCAAAATAAACTACTTGTCTTGCAGGGGGAAAAAGGATATGTTGTGTGGAAACTGCAATGGTGCTGGCTTTGTAGGTGGTTTCATGAGTGGTTTCGATTATTAAGTGGAAGTGGAAGGCAATCTCAGTTACAGAAAACCCTTCTTAGCATCGAGTGAATGTGTATAAATGTTACATAGAGCCATGTATCATATTGTGTATACATAATCATAAAAAATTTAGGTGCTGCAACTTGGTAGACAATTACAATTCTTGCACCTCTACTCCATAATTCTGCTGTTTTCAATTTCTTTATATTAGGCCAGTTAAATAGTTTTGTATAATATCTTTACGCATTTATGAATCTCGATCTTTTCTTCTTTACCACAGCCTATCAGTTGCCCATGTGTCTAAAATTTCCTGAAGGCAATTTTATTTTGCATAGTTGAGTCTTGTAGGTTTAGTTGGGATCCTTTGTTGTCAATCAATTGCTAGAACTGTAATATCATGTGCATATAATTCTAGATTATAGTCTTTCCAAAAAGAATACGATATTTATTTTTCAGCAGTTTATTTAATCCCTAGATGCTGATATAGCAGCATGCTTAGCAATGATCATATGAATCTCTAAAAGCTGTGTATGAAATCACTCATTTGCTTTTGGAGCAAATGAGTTGCCTCAGATTCAGGACGAAACACGTGAAAAATATGTGATTCCTCATCAGCTTCAACCAGTTTCACGCCTTTCACTCCTTTCCTCTTTAGAAACTCCGCATACATAACTCCCCTTTCCTTCAAGAAATCCAACCCCGCCACGAAAACCACCACTTTTGGAAACTGTTGCCACACAACCGTGGACACCTCGTCCATCTCAAAATTACATCCAAAGTAGTCACGATTTGACCCTTCAGGCAAACTTAGCCCCCAAAACAAGTCATTCATTGCCACATCCCCCTCTGCTCCATCACCCATCTCTCTGTCAGTCCTCTTTTCACTTCCAAAATAAGGATGTATCGACAAAAGTCCTTTGATCGTTACATTACAAGGCTTGTAATGAATCGCCTTGATAGCAACCTGGTGTGCTATGTTGCCTCCTGCGCTGTCTCCTGACAGAAACAAGCAAGACAGGTCGGCTCTTTTGAGCCATGGTTCAGAGCTTACCATGTTCCTTAGCCACTCAACCGAGCTATAACAATCATCGTAAGCAATAGGAAGCTTATTCTCTGGTGCAAGACGGTAGTCTACAGAGAAGACAATGGATTGGGATGCAACAGATAGATCTCCTAGGAAATTGTGGTAGCCGAGCCACATGGTTGAGCCGATGCTAAAACCGCCTCCGTGGAAATACACAATAACAGGCAGGTGATTGGCTGATGTTGGGGCGTCGGGGAGGAATATCCTAGCCGTTAGTGCCCTTGATGGGTCGATGATCACGTCCTTGGACTTGTATCCATTGGCTGATTCAGAAGATGCGGAGGCTATTTCAGGCGCGAAACGCTTCACTGATCCGTCAGAAAAGACTTGAATGTAACCGGGAGCCTCTGCAACTATGGACATTTTGCTTGGAGATGGAAGTAGGTGTGATTCAGAGGTTTTAAGTTATTGTTGCATGAAAGTAGAGAGTGTGTGGTGTTAAATAGGTTCATTGGGTGTGTAAAGAAAGGCTAGTATATGAGATTTTTGTTAGGATGGATTGAATGGTGGTTTGATCATGCAAAGTGGATTGGAAATAATTCTTACCAACATTATGTGGTGTTTGGGAAGAGGCTTTTTTTACTTTTTGAGTTAAAATAGTACTAAAAAATAAAATAGACTAAAATAGTTAAAAAGACAAAATGTCACATCAAATCTATAATTATTTCATTTTTTTTTTCTCACAAACATCACATTCAGGCCTCGTTTGGGAACAGGCTAATTTAGTAATTTTTTAACTATTTGGCTAAAATATGAGCTAAAAAAAACTAGTATGTTTGGGATGATTTTTTGGCTTTTTACGAAAAGATGTGCAAAAAATGGAGAGAAAAGAGAATCTTTGACTTTTTGGTATGGATTGTTGACTTTTTGACTTTTTAACTAAAAATGAAAGTTCCCAAACGAGGCCTCAATTACAAAAAAAATCTAACTCTCTTCTCAAACACAACTATTTTAATCAGGCTAAAATAGTCAACTGCAAAAATAGCCAACTTCCCAAACGGGACAAAATGTAAAGAGGGTATGGTAGTGAAGGAGAGAAACTTTGGCAGAGTAGTGTTTCGTAAATTGGTACATGAAGAAAGGTCGAGTTTTAGTTCCCAAAAAAAAAAAAGAGAGGGTAAATTACAAATACTCTTTTTGATATTTGATTAAAATACAAATCGCTTCCTGTAGTTTTAAAAATTACATTCTACCTCATGAGGTTTATAATTTCATAACAAATCGCTTCTTTTATTAATAAATTATCAAGTCAATTAACAGTTTTTAATGATATTAAAAATATGTTTCAATTAATAATTTAGGTAATTTTATTATTGTATAGGAGAGTAATTATGAATTTTTTTTTTTGTTAATTTTGTTAAATAAAAATGTTTAATAAGGAGGTATTTATAATTTTTTAAATCACAAAAAGATAATTTATATTTTAAATAAATCTCAAGGGATGTGTTTAAAATTTACTTAAAAAAAAAAAAAAAAGAAAGAAAGGTAGAGTTTGTACTAAAAAACTTTCCCTAAGAACTTGTGTGGTACGGATTTAATTTTTATATGGTGCGACTTAAATGGAGTTTGGGAATTACTATTTTAAGAAAGTGGTGTTTTCAACTTTTGTTCTTTGTGAGAAATTACTATAATACTCTTATTTATTTAGCAAAAAATAAATTAAATTATTTACATTTAGCTTTTTTAACCAAAAAGTAACATTTAGTTATACCCAAACGGGGTGAATGAATTTACATCACATATCGATTTTTCTAAATAAATTTCTAGACATGTATCATTGCTGAAGAGTAGTGTTTGGTAGATGAGAACGGTAATGATCATGTCAAAATATCTTCCTTTTTGTCTTTTATTTTGGATAAGCAACATTACGCATAGGAAGTTGATAAAAAATTGATTTTTGACTTTTTATCAAATTTTGTGACTTTTTTAAAAGTGATTTGGAAAATTAATAAAAAGTTGACTTTTTTAATTTTTGATTTAATATTTTTTAAAGTGTCACATCACTTTAAAATGATCAAAATATCTTTACTTTCTGATTTTTGAATTAATTAATTAAAATATTTTAAAGAGTAGCTTAGTAAATTTGGATGTTGCTTTTTTGGTTCTTGCCAAATGGAATGATTGGCGTTTTTGAGCTGGTTGGCGTTTTTGGGCTGCTCCCAAAACACAACTTTTTTAGACACTTCCCAATACGGCACATAATCTCTATCTTGAGTTTGTCATCAATGGATTGGTGGGGGCATCAAAAGCATGGCACAGGAATACATCTGCCAGGTTGAAATACCTCTTTTACTATAGTAGTGATAGCTATATTTTTGTTATTAGTTTTGAAAAGATCATATTTGAATATCATGGTATATTCTATTACAGTTCTTTTTACCTACATAAAAACTAATCATAAAATGAGAAATAATCTATTTGAAAAGTAGAACCCACAAAAATGTACAATCTATTTCATCTGAAATGATTGTGTCTGATTTTTTAAAAATTAATTTGTATATTTCTAGACCTTTTTTTTTAATTTTTAATATTGGATTTGAGGTAGGGTTGAGAAAAAAATACATATTTACAAACAGAATTTAGTGTAGTTTTGTGTGTGATTATTACCAACTAAAGCCAAACTAACTATTCATATCTATCAAGTATGCTTTTGGGGAATTTTGATATTCGACATCAAATTCATGAAGTTGCATTGGAGCTACTCTAAAACATCCAACTGATACTTCCATTTCTACCACACTCGAAATTGTAACTCAAATCTGGAAATGCTTGCCAACTCACATTGGATTTATTTCGAGTTTGATTTTTGTAATCAAACATATTCTCTCCTTTTCTTTATTTCTTTATATTCTGGTTGTTGTTTTGTACACAACAGAATTAAATCTTTTTAAATACAGTGAAGATTGTCCAACACAACATATCATCACACGTGATCGTCGGTCCCTCCCATTCTCTCATGTCATGTCTCAACAGTCGATGAGTTAGGGAGTCTTTGACTTAAGAGTTGGAGGGATAAATTACGCTTTGCACCTCTCTATTTTGTATTAAATTTTACTTTGATTCTTATATATAAAATTATGATAGTCAATTTCTTACATTTTGGTTAAATTTTATTTTGATCATTACACATGAAATTGTGAGTCAACTCATTATATTTTTTGTCGAATCTCACTTTAGTCCCTACAAAAGTATCAATGTTATTTTTTTATTACTCAATTGTTTAAATCTTTAACAGAATCTATTAATGTGACAAGAATGTGACTACGACATGAGAGTAAGAGAAGAAAATTATTTTCATTTTTCACCAATGCACGCATTGTCCCAAAATTTACATCAAATTATGATTATATTAAGCTAAAACAAAATGGAAATTGTGAACAATTAAGAAAATGATACTATAATTTTGCATAAATTAAAATTAAGAAACTCTGTTTTTCACGGTAATATAATCTTTTGTCTATTCATCTTCATTTTCTCTTTTATTTCTTAGTCGCATTTTTTTTTATTTCAAAAGTTTTATTTTTTTACCTCCTCATCTCAATTCTTAGCATAAGAATATACATATATATATTATATTATATAATTCTCACGTACTTATTACATAAGACAAAGTGTATTGATGGAAAATATGAATTATTTTCCTCTCTTACACTCATTTCGTAATCACATTTTTGTCACATGATTGGATTTTGTTGAAGATTTAAAAATAAAATAATAGAAGAGAGACATTGACACTTGTGTAGGGACTAAAATGGGATTTGATCAAAAGTACAAGGGGCTGACTGTCACGATTTCATGCGTAGGGACCAAAGTGAGATTTAACCAGAAGTGCAAGGGGTTGACTGTCATAATTTCATGTGTAGAGGCCCAAGTAAAATTTGGTACAAAATGTAATTTACCCCAATAGTTGTGTAATATCACTTTGTAGTATGAAGTTGCGAAACTCTTTTATAAATAAGAGTTTGATATCCTTTGTTTATGATGTTTATTTATTTCTTAATATGTGGATTGGGTTAGGTTTGTCTCTCGTTGAGCGTGTTGTTGGGCTTCGTGGGTTCGACGACTTGAATTATTTATTTTGTCAAATGTTATGTGTAAATCATTCACAAAAAATTTAAATTTAATAATTAGATGATCTACATATAAAATCTGACAAAATAGATAATTCAAATTGTTAAAATGAATCCTATGATAAACCTACAAAGCTCAACAACACCTGCTAGTCCACACATTGAACTAGAGACAAGCCTCACCCATGGAGATTATAGGTAGTTATTTGGATTTTAGCGATAATTATTTATGGTAATTGTTGACTTTCTAATTATTATAGAGCTAGTAACTTGTTTGATGTAATACGACTCGAATGTATAATTACTCTTCTACCGATTTAATACTTCTTAAATTTATAATGACTCTCTTAGTGATAGACAAAAACAAAACACCCTAGAGCCATTACTATTGGAGAAATTATAAATAATGAAAAAAAAGAAAGAAAGAAAAGGGCAGCTGCCAGCAGCAATATCACCTTCTTGACACTGTCAAATTTTAGCCTAAAATTTCATAAAAACCCACAACATCATCCAAAACCATATGCGTGGGGTCTTTTTCACCAAACAAACAACCCTAAACCTAACTTTTCAAAGCAAGTACCTAATGCAAACATACGGGAATCAGCAGACACTCTCATTAACTACGCACAAAAAGAAGAGAGAGAAGAAGGCACATCTTTTATTTAACAAAAATTCTTTACAAAAGTTTAGCGAGAGTTCCACAGAACAACGGTTTGAACATGGCCCATTCGAATCAAGCACCTCGCAAAAGCATCTGCAAAGGAAAAAAGAGGGAGATAACACCTACTAAAACAGAAAAACTTCACCGAACTACTTGGCTGGTTACTCTATTATAGGGATTTTCTTCCATGCCGCCTCTGCCTTGTTACCTTGCAGTGGAGGCAATGAAAACATGCTTCTTGTAGAACTTCCACTTCGAATCTTATTCAACACCTCCAAAGCTGTTGAAGTATGCTTCATGTACATACTCTCAATGTTCTTAATTTCTGCAAGTTCTTCCGGAATTTTCTGGAGCCTGCCTTCACCAGACATGACGTTAAGCTCTTCTTTCCCTTCAGCTGCTGCTTGATATGCGACGACCAATTGCTCATTCATGCTGAAAAATTGATCGAGCATTGTCTCACACTCCTTCACAAGCTGGTTTAGAACATCGGTTGTGAAGAATGGCTGTTGCAAAACCTTTTGGATGAAAGGCAAGCGAATGAGAGCACCGCTTCGCTTGTCGTATTTCTTTAGTATCTTCACTAGTCCTGCACAAGAGCAAATTTGAGTTGGAAAATAATCAATTTAAGCCTTCTAACAAGCACCACCATCAGCGGCCAAAAAATTTCTTTTATCAATTTGAGCTATCCACTGAGCAGTCAACTTATTTTCTATTTGATTTTTGATTTCTTGTTTTATAGTATTGTATTATTTTAATAAAACATGTATTCAATTTTCATGTAATCCAACAATACAAGTACACATAGAGAAACCTTATACAAACAGGAAAATGATAAGGAACTCTCGTATAAAATAATGAGCTAAGAAACAGGACAGAGACATGCGCAACACGACATGAACACGCTGGCATGCCAATTTTCAAAAATTACAAGACACACCACATGCGGAGAAAACGCACGATATATATAATTATATATATTTATTATTTGTCATATATGAATATTTCATTCAAACATAATAAAAAAAAATATAATATAACACTTATTTTATAGATTTACATTATTTTTTCTTTCATTATTGTATTCTAAGTTATTTAGTTCAAAATTATAATTAGTTTCATGTATGTCTAATCAGTAGACACACGTGTTTAAGCAAAGGACACCAGTGTTTGAAGAGTGTCCGGATCTTAAAAACTTATTAAAAAATAGGACTCATTTTGACGAGTGTTGGACATGAGTTGGAAGGTGTCCAACGAGTGTCAGTATCTATCACAAACACACCACCATTTTAGAAGTATCCGTACTTCTTATATAATGAGCATATTTTGGATCTTATCACCCCAAAAAAAAATAAAAAAATAAAAATCCATCAAGGTGGTTTACAATTTCAAAAATGCCACTACCATATATTTTAAAACAAAATTCTGTATGTTTAGAATTTCCCACATGTGTAAATAAGGAATGCTGAAAAAGAAAAATTTTAATGGATGGTACGATAAAAAGTGAAGTTTTTTTTTCCCCCTTGCTAGTTATTTGTCATGGTAAATTGATAAAGAGGTAATGAGTTAATATAGAAATTTATCAGGGGTGGAAGAGAGTTAATAACTTGAAAAGAAAGATAAAATTAAGAAAGAAAATAAAAAGGACAAATTGGACGCTGAAAAAAAGAAAAAGAAAAAAGAGGAAAAAGAAAAATTGAATGGAAAACAAAGAGGACTGCCATGTAAGAGAGCCAAAGTACCTGTGTAATTCAGGGCACTATAATTCAACAACAAAACCGTCTCTCCATGAAATTTATAAGGCAATATCTTATCAAACCATTAGGGCTCCATCTGGATATGTGAATTTGAAATAAAAGGATTTGATGTTTAACCTTATAAAAATTGTAAGAAAGGCTGATTAATGTGTATAGATTGATAATAATGGATGCATAGAGATAGAGAGATGCATTTTGTTAATATTTCTGCACAAGTAGAGAATCATTCATGAAAGAATTTCAAATAACCATGTTCACTTAGTTATTTCAAATCCTCTCAAATCCATTGTTGAAATCCATGCCTATAATATTACATTGAATTAAATGTTATACTCCTTGAATGAGTAATACCAAATCCATTCATTTCAAATCCACATATCTTAAAGATTTTAAGAAGTGTCTGGGACTAGCATAATACCTAAACAATGAAGATGCAATTTTAAAACACGTGCTAAGTGGACCATTCATATACTAAATCACTAAAAGGACAATCAAGTGTTCATCCAGTAGATCAATTGAAGCTTGACAAATATTCACCACTTTATGTAAGCCATTATGGGCTTCTTTGATTGGTCACATCCATAGGACTCACATTCTAGTGTTTGATTGCAATTTTTGTTATCCGGATTAGTTTCGGATGGACATTCTATCTAACAAAATTTGCAATGTTTTTTAATCCTAAAACTAATAATGCAAAACAAACATATAATTAGGATTATATTAAACGTGGACAAAAGTGGATTAATCCTGTCACTATTAATCTTGTTAAAAAAATGACTTATTAAGTTTATATCTATTGACGTAAGAGGGACAAAGTACCTGTGTAGTTCAGGGCACTGTAATTCAACAACAAAACCATCTCTCCATGAAAATCTACGATCTCCCTCCCTACTGTCATCAACTCCTCATTTGAATCCCGAGCCTCTGCTACCCTGTCTTGCAGCACCTGCACTCGAACCAAAAGCAGAGACAAAAAAATTGTTTCAATACATCACTGTGCATATTTGTTCTCTACTCACCAAAAGATATTCTACATGGCATCAAATGGCTTCCATACAAACACGGCAAAATAATAATGAATAAAATAAAAACAAAGATACAAACACGTTGCTCATTAGGGCTTGCCAAATAACAAAATATAAAGCAAGGAGTACTGTTTGACTTGGAATTGTATAAATCTAAACATTAAAAAGTTTATTTAAAGCTATAAAGATAAGGTCATAAGCAGTTTTGAAATAGAAGGAACAGTCTTCAGGACTGACAAAAAAAAAAAAGAAAGCTAAAAGGTTATGCAGGCTTGAAAGCCAAAGATCTCACAAATCCAAGATTTAGATTCTCAGATTCTTAATGAAAATTTGAAGGAGAATAACATCCAATGCTTAGTTGCACAAGCACAGGATGCTAAAAACAAAGAATTAGCCACAAAATCAATCACAGGTCGCTCTTACAAGCCTGTGGGTCCCAACTTCTGTAGTTGATTGTTTGGCTGATTCTGTATATTTATTATTGTTGAAAGAATAAATACCAAAATTGAACCAGAAATCTCTAATGGGATAACATCATAAATTTAAGATTGTTTGCCATTAAGTGTTCATATTCATAATACATAAGTGCGTATGCGCGCCCGTACAAAATTGCGTTATTATTTTATTTTTTATTTTTTGTATACCACCAAATGTAAAAGAAATTCATACCAATTTCTCATAATTGTTCTTACTTTGTTAATCAAACAGGAAAAAAAAATATATATATATATATAACTATTTTTATGCATATGATTATATGTATGTATAAATATGAAATAAAACATGACATGAACATAGATGCTATGTATATGATCTTTTAGATTATATGTATGTATCGATAAGTATTCCCTTGCATTTTCTTCTTTTTTGCTGCTAAATTCAGAACCCAAATCTGTGGTTTCAGCGATTTATAGAGAAATGATAACAAAGATAACTCTATCAAATATTCGATTTACAAAAAAAAAAAAAAAAACTCTAATTTTGCCAGTTTCATTTCTCACCAAAATTGTTGAGATTTATTGAAAATCCAAAATAATTAGTTGTGTAATTTTCCTAATTTCTCATCAAAATACAAAAGAAGACAAAGAAAAATTCTCATAAATATCACATGCTCAAGATTACCAAAATTAACAATATATCTCTGATCTAATGATTAATCAAAATTACAAAATACCTTTAACCTGATAACATATTCTTCCTCTTGATCAACGAAAAACGCGTTGAACTTGTCGATCTCGTCCTCCAACAGCCTCACGAAATCGATCACCTCCTTCGTCACCACCACCACCGCCTCCTCCTCCTCCACCGCGGCGGCGTCGCCGTCGTCGGTCAATCTGGGCCGTTTATTGGGCCTTCTAACGGTGCTACTACTACTACTAGTAAGACTAGGATCGCCTGATTTGGGGTAGATCAGCTTCAACTGCTTCTTGAGATCCTTGTAGGACAAGAACTTGTCTCGCCAATCAGGCAACGTTTGTTCGATTAGGTTGCTGAGGTTCTTGGAGAACTTCATGGTCCTTCACTCAGGGAATCAAAACTCTCTCCTCTGAACCATACAGATGTTTTGGGACGTTGTAATGGAACATGTAACAAGACGGAGTTGCAAGAAGATATGAGAGAGGTTAGAGGAGAGAGATGTGCAGAGCCGTGGAATATTCGGGCAGCAGAATGAGAGCAATCCTCGATCGTCGAATTTTTATTTGTCCGAATCGAATTTTGGCTTATTGCTGGTCGGTCGGTTATTTCATCAGTCGTTTGGCTGGTTATCCGATAAAGGTGATAATTACGGTAAATAAATATTGCTGATCAAGTGGTTAATTAGTAGGCACAAATTTAATTGATTCGGATAAATTTAAATTTGAGTTATCAATAAAATTTTGATAGAATAGGTAGGGCATAATTTCATTTCGTTGGGCATGGGAAGAAATATTTACAAATTAATCATAAATTTTATAAATATATTAAAAACATAAAAATCTCTTATAAGGAAAGTTTATGGTACATATATGAACCTTATAATTATAAAATATGTGTATTCTATTTATCTTATAATTATAGAAAAATAATTATATAATTTTATATTTTCTGAGTTATAATTATAAAAGAAAATTATAACTAAATACAAAAAAATTATAATCAAATATCTCAAAATAATGTCACAACTAAAGAAGAAATTTGATTATAACTAAATAAGAAACTGAGAGGGTAAAAGGCATAAATCTGGGCCAAGCTAGGACCAAGTAAAGGTGAGCCGAGCTGTGGGCTAAGTACAGTAGGCTTCACCGTTGGGCCCAGTTAGCTCGGTCTTAAATAACCCAGAGCCCAACTGGAGTAAGCCGAACCGAGGTACAGGAAGCTGAATGAAAAAGCCGAGCTAGTTGAAGCTTGGTCGAATCTACCGTTTAACATGGCAATATTAGCTTGGTCGTTTGTCATACCGAGCTAACCTCTTAAATGTGTTACCTCGGTTGTTTTGTCATACTACCGAGGTAAAACCATTTCACTTGGTTGAAACAGTGATAAGGGTGTTAAGGGATAAGCATCATCTTTTACAAATGTGATTCCTAGGAGGACTCTACCTTGAGGAGTAAGAGTCCTACTAGGATTGTGCCACGCAGAACCTATAAAAGCTCATAACAAAACCTATGTACAGGTAACACAATTTTGATTCTCGAATACGCAAAGCTTTTGTCTATTTGTCTATCTTGCTGACTTAGGCATCGGAGAGGTATCCGGCACACACCTGCCGGCTAGCTCACATTTGTGTTTTCAAGGAGTAAAGTGACGACGTTTGGAGGAAGTGGAAACTTGATCAACAAGATTATACGAGAAGATTATTCTGTGCTCGTACAACTGGCGCTATCTGTGAGAAGTCCACAAAGAACAAAACCTCTTGATCATCTCTAGTTAGAAGCAATGGCGCACAATGAAGACCTACCGCAATCGGCTATTGATGGGCAAACCCCAGAGGGGGGTGGGAGGCACGAAGGTGTCACGACCCAAACCCGGCCCTATGGGTTTAGCACCGTAACCGGCCAGTAATCCGAGATTACCGAAGGCCTGCAGAACAGTAATACAGTAAAACAGAGTACAGGGCCTGGCGGAAGCCAATACAGTAAATAAACAATGTCCAATGAGCTGTGACAGTCTGTATGCCAAAAAGATTTTTCATGCATTCATACATAAACAGTACAGAACAGTATGCACAATATTTACATTCATTCAAACTAGGGACTCAACCCTAGATAGCGGTACAGTGAACAGTCAGTCTATACAAAACAGTGAAACAGTACGGAAGGGGGAATTCTTAAAACGCCCCTAAGCCTTAGCAGATAGGCTCGGAACCTCGCAGTGAGGCACGAAGGCTGGCTTGACAAAACTGGAGTTACCCTGACGCCTCTAGCCGCGGTCTGGTGCTTGTACACCTACATATATATATGAGCAGTGAGCTAAAGCCCAGTGAATAACATAATGCGTAAAGGGGTTTAGAATGAATGTCCTTACAGTAATGAAAACAGTTCAATTCAAACAGTATTTCAGTTGTTCAGTACAGTAAACAGTCATATGTGGAACATCCATTAGCATAACAGTAACAGTAGGTCTTAAAAGACCAAACAATAATGATGGCCATCAGTCAGTAAACAGTAGTAGCTCCACGAGGGAACCGACAGAGAATTCTGTCACAGTAACAGTAAACAGTAGGTACTAAGGATGCCACAATACAGTTCAGAAATAAAAGACATACATTCATTCAGTAAATAATACCAATTCAGTAAACAGTTCAGTTCAGTATTCAAAAGATAATCAGTTGAACATATCTTTACACAATTATTACTCACAGAGTTCGGGCTACAGTATGCTAGAGCGTGTCTCCCCAGTCGCCAACCCTACACAGTTAACAGGTTGAACACACTAAGCTACACAGTTGGGAAAGATAACAACTTAATCCCTAATTTGCCTCGGTGTGTTCTACATCTTGGTAGGTAAGACCCCCTTGTGCTGTCTTGAACTCCCAGGACCAGGGAGGTATGAATCCACTCCCTTGGCTGGGGCTAGTTGTCGATCCCGTATTCTGTTTCTTATTGGCTGGGTTGTGCTTGCCTTTCTTGAATTTGAAACCCGCCCTTTTACCATGCCATTCGGTTATTGGTGTTTCAGATTGTTTCACTGCTGCAATGTTCGACTCGGCCATTCAATGCCGGTCGAGAACACCCACAAAAGTCGGTAATTTCAAAACATTTATCCGGTCAAGTATTGCCACATTAAGGCCGCCTTCAAATTTTCTGGCCTTCTTATATTCAGTATCCACCATTGCGGTGCATAACGGGCAAGTTCAGTAAATCTGGTTTCATATTCCGCAACAGTCATTGTGCCCTGCTTTAGCTGTTCAAATTCGGTCACTTTTCTATCCCTGACACACTGAGGGAAGTACTTTCAAAGAAGGACTCCTTGAACTGAGCCCAAGTCATAACAGTATTTGTATCACGGATATAACATCCACCACCTTCTAGCTTCTTCTTGTAAGGTGGAAGGTAGCTAACAGTACTTTATTCGCTTCCGAGCACGGAAACACTTCAAAATATTTTTCTGTTCGAGCACCCAAGCTTCAGCCTTCAACGGTCGAGGCCTCCCCGAAAGGATGGCGGTTTCATCTTGCTGAATTTATGGGTGAGAGCAATAATATCCCCATTCATTCACATTCACATTAGGTTCCGGTCTGTACCGGAGGGAGGTGGGGCTGTTGGTTCTGTTTGTTGTTCCAGTCTAGCAGTTATCAGTTCTATCATTCTTTCCATTCTTCCCATTCTTGCCTCAGTAGATGAGGACTCAGGTTCATTTGCATTGTCCATTTCACTATAAGTCAGTTATAACAGTTTTAAACATAAGCAGTCATTTGTTTAACAGTTTACCAACATCAGTAGTATTCAGTCCATAACATAACCACACACTTTTCAAGTTCATGAAATGCCCTAATCACTTTCTAGGACACCCTATAGCTCATTTGGACACGTGTGTGCGGTATAACTCGTGGTAAGTATCGCTCTGATACCACTCTGTCACACCCAAACCCGGCCCTATGGGTTTAGCACCGTAACCGGCCAGTAATCCGAGATTACCGAAGGCCTGCAGAACAGTAATACAGTAAAACAGAGTACAGGGCCTGGCGGAAGCCAATACAGTAAATAAACAATGTCCAATGAGCTGTGACAGTCTGTATGCCAAAAAGATTTTTCATGCATTCATACATAAACAGTACAGAACAGTATGCACAATATTTACATTCATTCAAACTAGGGACTCAACCCTAGATAGCGTACAGTGAACAGTCAGCCTATACAGAACAGTGAGACAGTACGGAAGAGGGAATTCTTAAAACACCCCTAAGCCTTAGCAGATAGGAAA